AAGAGCTAACAAGTGTTGGTAAGGATGTGGAGAAAAGGGGACCCTTGTGCACTGTTGGTAGCAATATAAATTGGTGCAGCCACTATGGAAAACAGTATGAAGGTTCCCCAAAAAATTAGAAATAGAACTACCATATAGTCCAGCTATTTCACTTCTGGGTATATATCCAAAGGAAACAAAATCACTATATTGAAGAGATATCTGCACCCTCATAAAAAAAAATTTGCCAGGTGCAAATTAAAAAGTCATGGAAGGAGAATAAGTTAGAGGGGAGTTGTGGATGGTAAAAGGTAGGCAGAGTCAGGTAACAGTTATAACTCAGCTTCCATAATGTTGGAACTGACTGAATCAGTAATTAAAACTTGACTTTATCTCATCCTGCATTTAATAATGCTTTAACGCTCGCTGTTAAATATTTCACAATGAACAATGCTTAGCCATGAGAAAACAAATATTTCCTATTGCTAAAAATGGCCAGATTTGCATTCATGTTTCCGTATTCCTTTCTCTAATCAGGTATCAGATGTCAGCAAACCGACCTACTTAAAACAGTGTTGACATAGGATCAAAAGCAAACATACCAGTATAGTTTGGAGTGGTAGGATTTGTGGACTAAACTGAACCAGGGTGGGAATGGGCGGGGCCCTCCCAGAGAGCGGCTTCTGGCAATGGAAGGGTAACTTTAGGCCCTTTATGTTTTTAGCCTTTGTGCGTCCTGAAAGCAGGCACTGGGGAGGTAAGTCTATAATTAAGGGGTTATTGAAAATAGATATTTGTGCCCTGACAGAATGCAACCTGTCTGTATCCACAAACAGTGAAAACTCTTTCCAGCCCTTTGTCTTGGGCTGTGTATGGTGTATTGAACGTCTCCGGTTTACAGAGACGCTGGGGTTCAGGTTACATCGCCCCAGAAAAGGAAGGGTGTGTGCGACTTAGAGCAGCACATCTCCTGGGACATCAGCTTTGTTTTGAAATCGCATCTAAAAATGATACGTCTTATTAGTTGTAGCATTCTTTGTCCTAAAACCAATCATATTGAATTCAATTTGACTTTGGCTCACCTCCTCATACAAGTGCTGAGTGTTCAGAACCTCAGGGTCAAGTTTCAAACTTAATAATAGGAAATGGAATTCTTTGTGCAAAGTGAATAAAAACTAGAGGACAACACACAACAGTCCTTAAAGTTCATAATAGCCTGGGGAATTCAAAGTTCTTTAACAGGAGATGGGATGTTAGAATATTCTACAGATTTGAAATTCCATCTACAGTCCTTCTAGTTGGTAATCAGTATTGACTGAGTTCCTGCTGTGTTTGCAGCCCTCATACCAGACCCTGTCTGCATCTGTCAGGCACGTGCTTAGGAAATATCATTCCCTATGATCTGTTGCTGTGGCCGGGGCCCTCATCATTCCCTGCACACTGAATTTCCATTCTTACTCATTTTGTGTCTTTCATTCAAAATGAACATATTTACCAGTATATGATTAACATAGTGACTTAAAACCTTTATGAGGCACCTAAAATTGCAAGACGAACTTGCATTCCCATTTATAGGACCCTGTAAAGGGATGGCATCTTGAACACTACAAATATATATATCTTGATTGACAGGACAAATGTTTCAAAATTAAAGTTTTTTTCATTATAAAATGTTTCAAATACAGAAAAAACATCACAGAAAGTAAAAATATAAAAAGACACTCATGTACCCACATTTAACACTTTGCCATAGCTGCATACCGTTTATTTTTAGAGAAAGCATTAATGATAGAGTCAAAGGCTTCACCTTTGCCTCTCCTCCATCTTTCCCTCCTCAGGGTTGACCGCTAGCCCATTATACTTGTCCATGTGTTTTTGCGTGTGTATGAGGAAGCTTGGCCATGAGCTAACATCCATTGCCAATCTTCCTCTTTTTGCTGAGGAAGATTGTCCCCGAGCTAACATCTGTGCCCGTCTTCCTCTGTTTTGTATATGGGACGGCTCCACAGAATGGCTTGATAAGCGGTGCAGACGTCCGCACCTGTGACCCCTGGGCCACTGAAGCGGAGTGCGAGAACTTAACCATATGCCGCCGGGCCTGCCCCTGCTTGTCCACGTTTTTACATTTTCACAACTTATGTATGTTTTGTTTCTAAGATTTGCATAAGGTTTACAGAACATTTACAATTCGTTTTTTCATTCAACATTAAGATTTATCTTCATTGATGCAAATAAGCTATGCCATTCATTTGTTCCATCGTATGAATATACCACTGCTCACATATCCATTTCCCTTCTGACGAGCATTTAGGTTGTTTGCCATACTTTACTATGATAGACGATGCTAATAAGAACAAACCATCCATCCCTCAGGTCTGATTAGCTCTACCTTCAAAACGATATATCTTAAATCTGACCCCTTCTCCTCATCCCACAACTACCCCAGTCCAAGCCATCCTTTTCTCCTCTAGAGGCTCCTAAGTGTCTCCAGCTTCCATCTTGCTCCCCTTCAGTTTACAGTTCACACAGTCCACGGGGTCAGATTGGGTCTTTCCTTCATCAAAATCCTTCCTATCACACCTGGGATAAAACCCACAGCTCTTCCCATGGCCAGGAAGTCCCCATGTGATCCGACCCCTCTCCCTCTTTTTCCCTAGTTCTCTACAGTCCAGCGGACTGGGCTGCTTCTGTTCACTGCCTTAGAGCCTTTGAAGCAGCTGTTCCCTCTGCCTTGAAGCCAGCACTCTTCATCTTCCTCTGGCTTCCTCCCTTGGTTCCTGACGAGATGACACCTCCTGGGAGAAGCCTTTCCTGTTTCTCTTATCTAAATTAGTACTTCTTTCATTTCCTACCCCTTTACCCTGCTTTTATTTTTCTTCTCAGAAGTTATCACACCTGAAATGAGCTTATTTGTTTACTTTTGTTTCTCCACTGGAATGTAAACTCCCTAGCCTTTTTGTCTCCAGGACTCAGGAGAGTGCCTGGTGTAACAGGCATTGGCAATCCTTGACTGAAGGAATAAATGAGAGAGCGCCAGTACGAGACTCATTAGGCACATTGTCCAGGACAGTACCTTGAAAACTTTGTTGATGGTGAAGCACAATATGAAATACACATTTTATACAGCACGCACACAAACGCAAAAAAGTCACACAAAACTTTCAGGAAACAATACTCAGACTTGCTACTTATATTTTTTATTCTATTTCAAAAAGAAAGACAGAAGAAGAAAATATGCTAGTTGCAACTGCTAAACTGATTTCACAGTTCACCAGTGGGTTCTAAGCTGCAGTGTGAAAAACTGTTTTAGAGTATACATCTGGATGTGGTTTTGCTGGGTTTTACTAAATATTCCTAAATTGCCCTCTGCAGTAAAAATTTACACTACTAACATCATTGCAGAGATTTCCTCATATCCTCACCAACACCTTTATCTTATCAGGCTTTTTAATTTTCGCCAGTCTGAGTGTAACTGTATCTCTGTTTTAATTTGTCTTTTCCTGATGACTAAAAAGACTGACAGACCAGGGATCTCAACCTTAAAAGATATGTAAATTCTTTTCTAATGCCCCAGAGAACTAAGAATTTTCCTAACAGAACCTTTCAAAAGCAAAGTGACTTAATCTTCCCCTACTTTATGTGTTTCACAATTCCAGATTCTCATATATTTAATTTTAGTGGCACAAGATTGTATTCCCAAGGACACAGCACTAACGACAATTTTAGTTCATTCACCATTCATGTAGTTGTTTACTCAACAAATATTGATTCAGGGCCCCCGCTACTGCCAGGAATTTCGCCAGACAGACCAACAGCCTCTCCTGGCGCCTACCTTCCAGACCGTGAGTTCTTTGTCCTTTGCACTGTGGCAGTGACCGTGGGCAGGCGTGTTTTAGAAAGGCTCAAAGACTCCGACCAAGTTCCTTCCAATTCTTCCAACCCATTGTTCTCGTGCATTACTACTTGCTCAAAAGTTTTTGTATTCAATACATCCGAAGAGGAACGCAGTGTGTTCACGCATGCTCTCTTACTGCAAAGAAATTATTCCGGACAGAAAGTGAAGGGGGAAAATTCGAATGTTTTCATTTCAAGCGCTCGTTTTAAATGTAAGATTATAATTAGGGTCTTTTAAAACAACCCAATCTATTTGACTTTTTCTTCTAAAAGCAACTTTTTTCCCTGCTCTTCATAAAAAATAAAAAAGCCTCACTCTTTATTTCGTCGTAATGTCAGGTTTGATTAAAAGGGCGACGAAAACTATCTCACGTTCGTTCTGATTTAGGTAATTCTAAATTCTGACGGGAGAAAGGATCGCCAGACCGTATTAATACAAATAATCTCTAAAGACTTCATTATCCCATAGATAAGTCTTAACCAACAGCAGTGCCGTTTTTCTCACTTAAAAACCACAAGTCTTATGTAAAACAACTCAGCTTTAAGCGCTTTCTGCAAAGAAAGATTAGGATTTAACTCATTTTATTGATTCAGATAATAGTGTGGTTACTAGATAAAAGACGCTACAGCCAGGGACAGTGACTGAGCTAATCAAGCGTAGAGTTCGTGTTTGATTCTTTGAAATAATTTTTAATAGTGTAAACCGCACGCCGCAATGAAAGTGCTAAGTTCCGAGACCGGCGTGACTCGCGCTGCTCTCCATTCCCCCATCTCTACTTTTCCTCTGCCAGCCCCGGAATTCATGCAAATCAGCCTGCTAACCCCGGGGCAATACGAACCACTTTCGCGCCATTCGCTCAGGACCGTGCAGCAACGTAAAGAGAGCGGTCCTGGAGCCCTAAAAGCACCACTTTTCCAAGCCGGATTTTAGGGGACTCCAAGGCTATCACTTAGTTCAAGATATCTGGGGGGCCAGTGTTTTTCCCGGGGCTGAGCGGGTCTCGCGCCCGGGGGGCCGTTACCTCAGCTTGCAGGACCTGCGCCCCAACGCGGGAAAGCCGGCCCGAGCCCCGCCCCTCGGGGTCCGGGTCTGCGCGCCCCGCCCGCCGGCCGCGCGGCTCCGGCTCCTCCTGCTCGGTGGGACGGCGGCGCGTGCGGCTGCTCCGCTTTCCCCGCTCCGCGCGCCGACCTGGGCGCCCGCCGCCAGCATGGACACTCGCCGCGGGCCGGTGAGGGCTGGGCGGGCGAACCCGAGGGGCGGGCGCGGTGGGTGCTGGGCGCGGGCCGACTCCCTCCAACTCCCCGACAGAGCGCTGCTTATCAACTGGTGGCCGTCCTGGGCGGCGCCCGTTTAGGCAAGCCCCAGATTTTGTGCACTTGGAGTAATTCGGGGCCAGGGGGCCGTCCCCGCCGGGCGTGCGCACCCGGCGTGCGGGCGATTGGAGCTGTTTGCAGGATGGTTGGCAGCGCAGGGGAGCCCGAGGCCACGTGCGCTCGAGGGGCACGTGCGCCGGGGGCCGGACAGCGGCTGGGGCTGGCCGGTCCCCCATTGTGTCTGCCTGCCCGAGCCCAGCGGGTGGGGCGCGGAGGGGAGCGTCGCTCTCCCCACTCTTTGGGAGTTTGTTCTGCAGCCGCCCAGCCCTTTCCTGAGCGCAGCTCTGGGCGGATGGGTGGCCCCCGCAGCTCCACCCGCGCGCTTTGGGGGGCCCTTGGGTGCGCTCCCCACACGCTTTGGCCCCAGCCACCCCGGCTGCCTCTTCTAACCACTGAGGGTCGGTGGGTTTGAAGTGTAAAGGTCTTGCAAACCAGTCTCTTTAGAACTTGTGTTGCGCACATCGGGGGAAGCGTCTCTAGTCCCAGGTGGTGATTAAGGGCAATTGAAAGACCTGGTGGTCCAAAATGTTCGCCGACCATTTGCTCCTTTCCCACTCCCTTCCCCACCCCCAACCTTACTCGCAGCTGCAGGACGTTGCCTTGAATGGAACGTTGCTTTTTGCTTTAACGGAAACCGGAACGTGGGGTCTGCCTCAGAAGAGGTTAGAAGGTGGGGGTTGGGTGAAAAGGAAGAAAGTGACACCTTAAAATAAATGTCAGGGGTAAGGGACACACGTGAGGAGGCTGGGGTTCTGGGGGAGGGGGGTGAGGGCGTGGTTTCAGAGACAGATCTCCCAGCTGGAACTGGCGTTGGCTTTCAAGATGAAGAAAGCCATGGGTAGCTAGGCTTGGAATCTGACGGGCCTGGGTTCAAATTTGGGCCATCGTGTGACTTGAGTAATCCATTTCACCTCTCTGAGCCTCAGTTTACCCATCTCTTAAGTGGGAATAATTATAGCACCTTTGTTGCCAGGAATTAAACATAGCAATGTGAAAGCACAGTTAGTGCTTGGCACAAAAAAAAAAAAACACCTAGTAAATGCCAGTATTAGTTATTACCTGCCGGAGAAGTTCATCTCAACCCTGCCCTTTTGCCTTGCTTCTTTCCATGTTTTCCCCTCCAGGCATACATTTCCCCGGTGACTAACTCTTAGCTTGTGCTGACTTGTTAAAGCCCAGCATTTATTTCTCCAACAGCTTCCAATAGAATGCCTGTCTCGAGGCTGTCTTGCGTCTCTGACTGCTTGCAGGTAGATTGAAGAGTAAATGGTGATAATTCTTGCGGTAATGCGTGGAGCACTGCTGTTTTAGGAGATTGCACACTTGGGTTCTCCTTCTGGCCCTGTGATCTTACGCAATCTATTTCACCTTCCTGGAGCCTTGAATTTCCTCATCTGAAAAATGGAGAGTTTCTGAGATCCCCTTTTTTTTTTTTTTAAAGATTTTATTTATTTGTCCCCTTAAAGCCCCAGTAGATAGTTGTATGTCATAGCTGCACATCCTTCTAGTTGCTGTATGTGGGATGTGGCCTCAGCATAGCCAGAGAAGCGGTGCGTTGGTGTGCGCCCGGGATCCGAACCCGGGCCGCCAGCAGCGGAGCGCGCGCACTTAACCGCTAAGCCAAGGGGCCAGCCCTGAGATCCCTTTTAAATAAGTAGTAGCTCTACCTATTGTATCACATTTTCCTGCCTTTCCAAAAATACAAAAGACAAAAACTTCCTAAGATGATTGAATGGAGTCTGCTTAGGAGCATAGGGTGGTTGGGTATCATCACCATGAAAATAATTTTATTTGCAAGAGACTGAAATGAAATGCATAATGTTAGGTGTAAAAGGAAGGTCAAGAATGTTCTGTTCACCTGATGCCTCACATCCTGGCAGTGTTTTGTGGGACCCAGAGCAGAGCTTGCCCTTTCAAAGTTTTCAGTGTAAGGAGTCACTTCTGCTATGTTTAAGAAACTTCATTAAATATTAAGAAATGGCTGAAACTGCTATCTTTTTTGCATGAGATAGATGCTGATTGCATTTTCTGACGAGCAGTGCCAGGCTGTTCAGTGTTTATGAATGAAGGAAGCATTTTCATATTTACAAGTAATTTGTGCCTTATGAAAGGACTTCTAAAAATTGAAGACTTGTATAGCAAGGGGACTGCAGCGAGAGCTGAATGCCAAGCTAAGAGGGCCGGGAGGTGGCATCGGGCATTCTACGTGAGATTGGAGTACTATTTGACCTTTAACTTGGCTCCTTGTACATTTGTTCACTGGGTTGATATATTTGATTTGTAAGGACTCATGGCGAAATCACTGCACCCCTCCTGATTGGAAGAAGGCCTGTTTGAAAGCCTGCCATCTTGAAGTAGAGGTGCTGCCCAGTTTTTGTAGTTTGGGGAAATTAGCATCACAGTACATAGCCCAAAGCTTACATAAAAAGATGTCATTAGCTTGATTTTGCCTGAGGGAGAGAAATCACTCTACCATTTTTTGTACTTTTGAATTTCCTTTTAGAAGTACTGTCTTAATTTTTTTAAAAAGGGCAGATTTTAGAAGCTTAGCATTAGACTCCTTGGGAGCTCAGTATAATGCTAAAAGCTTGGGGGCTCCTAAGGTGGGTTCAAGGGGTGGCCCTACAGATGTTTGAATAAATGGATAAATATCATTACAGTTTTCCTTCAAAAGGATTCCTTTTTAGGATTTTACCTAGTTTTGAAAAAATCTTTGTAGCAATTGCAAATCCTCCTTTGTCTAGATAGAGTATAAGAAATGGGCATATCTGCTCTGCTGTTTGAACCTACTAAACTCAAAAATGATATCTTTAGTTAGATACTGTAGTAAGCATCCCACTTAATAGTATTGCTGTTTCCATTTGCAGCAAAAGGATGGCAGAGTAAAGAAGAACTTCAAGAAATTCAGATATGTGAAGTTGATTTCCATGGAAACCCCGTCATCCTCTGATGACAGTTGTGACAGCTTTGCTTCTGATAATTTTGCAAACACGGTAAGTGCTGCCTGAGAATAAACAGAATTGAGTCTGCAGTGCTCAAAATGCCCCAAATGCTTTGTGCGTGATTAAAACTGCTTGCTTTTTGCCTACATTTCTGTACAGCCGTTATGAAAATACAGTATGCACTGTAATTTCATTTCACTTTTTGCTGTGGTTCTAGGTAGTAATTGTTGGAGGTAGATTAGCTACTTATTCTATTCTATCCTTTTGAAATGTCGCCTAACCTAACATGCCTGATGATTTGCCATAACAACTCAGAAATCATTTGTAAACCTCTGAACCATTTTTCTTTGTAACAAAAGCTATTCTCTTGTAGTGCGCTTGTAAATGTGATTTGCTCTCTGCACGGTTTATGGAAAATTGGTTCTTGAAAAAAGGAAAAAAAATGCACAACCACATTTATTTATTTATTTTACAGAAACCTAAATTCAGGTCAGATATCAGTGAAGAACTGGCAAATGTTTTTTATGAGGACTCTGATAATGAATCTTTCTGCGGCTTTTCAGAAAGTGAGGTGCAAGATGTGTTAGACCATTGTGGATTTTTACAGAAACCAAGGCCAGATGTCACTAACGAGCTGGCCAGTATTTTTCATGCCGACTCTGACGATGAATCATTTTGCGGTTTCTCAGAGAGTGAGATACAAGATGGAATGGTGAGTTTGAGAATTTCACCAATATCAAGAGTAAAGATACATTTAGAGGCATGACATGCTTGCTTTCAAAACAACTTTTTTTCTTGTAATTTTTATTTGAGTCATGCCAGAAGATTTTGTGGATCTTTTTAAGATTTTAAGAGTGTTTTCTTGATGTTTCAAAGCAGTTTTTACTAATGTAGTCCTACTTGTAAAGCTCGAATGCTTTGTAGGCTCTGAAAATCTTGGAAACTGGTAAGATAAAGTTGGCCAACCTCCAGATTTCCGTTGCCACAGAAATCCATCCTCATCAGAGGAAGCACACATGGCCTCAAGATTAGCCATATTCATGTTTAAGTCAAGGTGCCCGGCCCGGTACCTGGCACAGAGCAGGCCTTTGATCAATGTTGGTTCCCATAGTGGATCTATGCCCGCCTCTGGGAAACCAGTGATAACTCAGCTACAGGAGCCTGAGTGCGGATAATGACAAGTAGGGCCCTTCCTGCTTCCACGTTTGCTCCTTGGTCAGCTTTTCTTGTGCATGCTGGCTTACCTTTAACCTGTTGTCCCGCTCAGGCCACTGCTGCTACTGCTGCTGCTGCTGCACCTCAGTCCCACTTTCCCTGAGCATACTGTTTAGTTCTGCGGATGTTTTCTTGTTAGCAAGACTTTCTCGACAAAGGAAGCAGTGTGTTGCTTTGCAGTCAGGGGCATGCTTCTCAGCTCATTGCGGTCTGACACTGGTCCACTGCCTGGGACCACACTTGAGTGACAGTAACATAAGTGAGAGTGCCTGGCCAAAGTGTGTTTTATCACTATCTGTCTTCATGGTAATGTAGAATTTTCCTCTAATAAGTGATGTCGGTCTAAATCAGTGCGTATTGGAGATTTTGCCGGGGCTGGTCTGCGAATCTGGATGTGACCCAAACATTGACTAGAGAAGCCTGAATCATTTCTGACAATGTTTCAGTTCTTTATAGATGCTGTTTGTTGTGATTAATAACATGCCAATCAATTAAAAGTCTTAAGAACTCATAAAAGTTTTTTGTCATTTTATATTCTCTCAATGCATGCACACTAAAAGTACATGGAAAGTACTAAAAGCTGTGGGGATTTAAGAATTTTTTTCTTTTGTTTTGTGAGGAAGATCAGCCTTGAGCTAACATCTGCCAATCCTCCTCTTTTTTTTTTTTTTTTTTTTTGCTGAGGAAGACTGGCCCTGGGCTAACATCCATGCCCATCTTCTTCCACTTTATATGGGACGCCGCCACAGCATGGCCTGACAAGCGGTACGTCCGTGCAGTACGTCAGTGTGCGCCGGGGATCCGAACCAGCGAACCCCGGGCCACTGCAGCGGAGCACGTGCACTTAACCGTTTGCGCCACTGGGCCGGCCCCAGGAAATTTTTGAATGTTAAAAAATGTCTTCCATTTCTGGGACTTTATGAGTAATATGTTTTCTTCTCTCTCTGGTTTTTTGTTTGTTTTTTCTCAACCATCACCACAATCAATTTTAGAATATTTTCATCATGCCACAAAGAAACCCTGTACCCATTAATAGTCACTTTTCATCCTTTCCCAACACCCTCGGTCCCTGGCAACCAGCAATCTATTTTCTATCATTATAGATTTGCCTGTTCTGAACATTTCATATAAATGGAACCATACAATATGTGGTCTTTTGTGACTGGCTTCTTTAACTTAGCATGAGCCAGTACTTGACAGCTTTTTATTGCTGAATAGTATTCCGTTGAGATGGATAGTGGTGATTATTTCACAACAGTGTGAATATGATTAATGCCACCAAACTGTGCACTTAAAAATGGTTAAAATGGTAAATTTTATGTTATATATATTTTACCACATTTTTTTTAAAAAGTGGATTAGAGCATTGAGACATCTTTAATATAGTTTAATATTGCCATAAGCATTGAAACCACGTTTATGGGAGAACACATACTTGTTCATGTAGGAATTCTTTTGAAATACATAAAGCTATAAGGATCTACTTGTAAAGAAATTAAAAAGGGAGCTGTATTTTCACATTTAAAAGATTGGCTCAGAACGACTGGCCTAGGGGCTATGAAGGTAACTATGTGTCCCAGATAGGCTATGTTAGTTAAACTATACTCAGATGGTTGTATTTGTAATTCCTGGTTTTGTTACCCAGAGCTGTCAATTAAAATTGACAATAAATGTGTTCAATTAAAATTTATTTGATGGAAGTGTCTTTTGTTCAGGAGGGATTTTATAGTCATGCTGGTGCAGCCTGTCCAGCCATCAACAGGTCATTAACGACTCAATTGTTCTGATTGACTAGAGACTGCAGTCAGTGCAGTCAGACCGTGCAGGCTGTAGGACCCGCAGTCAGTGCAGAAGTGCCGGACCTCTCCGAGTGGCGATGAAATTTCCAACTCGAAACACCAGGGGAGCAGCCAACAAAAGAGCAGCGCCCCCTGAACCCTCGGAGAATTCTGTGACCGATTCCAGTTCTGATTCAGAAGATGAAAATGGCATGAATTTTTTGGAGAAAAGAGCTTTAAACATAAAGCAAAACAAAGCAATGGTAGGTATCTGACTTTGAATGTGTTAGAACTAACTCTTCCCAGCTTTTCTTTAAGCCACTTATTGCTTCTGTCTGTGTCCTTCTTATGTTCAGTGTAGCTCTGAAGTCTTCATAATATGTGCTTTAAAATGTATTTCTTGGGGCCGGCCCAGTGGCGTAGTGGTTAAGTTCACACGCTCCGCTTTGGCGGCCTGGGGTTTGCAGGTTCGGATCCCAGGCGCAGACCTACGTACTGCTTATCAAGCCACGCTGTGGCGGCATCCCACATATAAAGTAGAGGAAGATGGGCACGGATGTTAGCCCAAGGCCAATCTTCCTCAGCAAAAAGAGGAGGGTTGGCAACAGATGTTAGCTCAGGGCTAATCTTCCTCACAAAAAAAAACTATTTCTTTCCCTAAACTAACTTTTCTCTTTTTTAATCCTGTTGAAGTCTTGGTAAATATACAGGGGAAATCGGAAACTCTTTGAGATGTGCTGCTGTAATTTCCAGAAGTTGTTCATTTTCAGCAGCGATTCTACACCAATAATTTCTGTTGAATTTCCTCCCTTTTTAGCTTGCAAAACTTATGTCAGAATTAGAAGGCTTCCCTGGCTCATTCCCTGGAAGGCGTTCCCTACCAGGCCCCAGTTCAGTAAGTGCAAATCCTTGTTTGTGTAGTAGTATTTTGGGCAGGTCTAAGGTAGATTTGTTGTGATATTTTAAAATCCAATTTCCTTATTTTGTGTGGTCATATAGACAGACTAAGAGGAAATAGAGGAAACTTTCTGGGAGCCCTTCCTTGCATCCCAGGGCAGTGTGGCCTCCTCCTGTGAGCTCCTCATGTGTGCTCAGACCCCTTTTGATTGGTTATTTCTCTTCTTCCCAGCTAGACTAAGCCTCTTCAAGGTAGGGAATAAAGACTGAAAATTTTTTGTTCTGTATCCCCAGCATCAGCACATTCCTCCTACATGGTAGATAGTTGTGTAAGAAAAGATGTTTTTAAAATCTGAGAATGAGAAAAAAGAAGGAAAAAACAATTTTCTTAACCAAGTCATGGCCTAATATATGTGATTATATTCTGAGGAACTAAGCTGGTGCAACTCAGGGGAATTTGGTGTGTCTGCTGTGGTATAAAACAAAAGACTTCCTTTCCCCATCTCTCCCTGAGGAGAAAGGGAAGAAACAAGCAAGGAATGAAGAAGGAAAACCATACGTACATTTCTCTCTTGTGCAATATAGAAACAGTGAGTATGTTTCAGGGCTCAAGAGATGTTGTAGAAAAGCTTTCTTTGGAAAATGAGATCCATTCTTAAACCTTTATTAAATAGAAAAATTAGTAGATCGTCTCTCAGTTTGAGAGAAACCAGGCTAGGTGTTACAAAAGCAGAATTACAATGGCTGTATCATCTTGGGGCTTATTGTCCATGCATTATAGAAAGGACAAAGAAAGTAGAAAATGGAGCTCTCCTTTTACTTAAGTGAAAAAATCCTTAAGGAGAAGGTGCTACTTCTTTTCATTCTGGAATAAATGGGTTCCATCATATGTGTTTTGTTTAGCAATCAAAGACACCCCGAAGGCGTACATTCCCAGGTGTTGCTTCCAGAAGAAACCCTGAGCGGAGAGCTCGTCCTCTTACCAGGTCAAGGTCCCAGATTCTTGGGTCCCATAGTGCTCTACCCACAGAGGAGGAGGAGGAGGAGGAAGAGGAGGAGGATAAGTTCATGTTGGTGAGGAAGAGGAAGGCCATGGATGGCTACGTGAACGTGAGTTTTCCACATTTGTGCTTGCTCGTCTGTTTTTCATCTTTTGTAGGCCCAGTATCATATACGCAATACGTATAGACATAGCCTCCACACCAAATGATCCATATTAAATATTCTTTTCAAACTGTCCAGAATTGTTAATGTCACATAAACTTATTTGATGATTTTTGTGAGCAGCTGAGAGAGTCAATGTTTTCTTCATCTTAATTGTAGGAAGCATCTCCATGATGTTGTCCCGTTATCTTTAGTAAACTTATGACTTGCCGCCTCTCCATAAGCTGTAAGAAAGTTTCCAGGTCGAATTCTCTGTGAAGAAATTACAGTGAAATATCTGAGATTCAGAGCTGGGGAGAGCCAGTAAGAACACTGTTCCATGCTTCTTGTTGTGCAGGGAGATGACATGCCCCGAGGTCGTCGCCCCGGATCCATGACCCTTCCACATGTAATTCGCCCAGTGGAAGAAATCACAGAGGAGGATTTGGAGAACATCTGCAACAACTCTCGAGAGAAGATATACAACCGTTCATTGGTAAGAGCCTCTAAGTTGTGTCTGAAAATGTAAACGTCTGTGAGAGAGCAAGGATAGCTTCTGTCCTTTTGAGTTTTGCTGATGTTCTAAAGGTCTTAGCAATGGGATGTGTGCCTATGTGTTTTTTTCATATAAGAGAAGAGAGTTTTGTAACATCCTTGGATTTAGCCCTCTTGGTAAATCTTAGTAGCATTAAATCTTTTCTCTTAATTTAGAAATTGAGGGCCGGCCCCATGGCTTAGCAGTTAGGTGAACGCACTCCGCTGCTGGCAGCCTTGGTTCGGATCCTGGGCGCTAACCGACGCACCGGCTTCTCCGGCCATGCTGAGGCCACATCCCACATACAGCAACTAGAAGGATGTTCAGCTATGGCATACAACTGTCTACTGGACCTTTGGGGGAAACAAATAAATAAATAAAATTAAAAAAAAAAAAAATTGATTCATTCAACATATATTTACTGTGTATCTATTATGTGTGTCTACATAGATAGGTGCTGGGGATATGGTGGTGTGCTCAAGATAAAAAAGGATTTGGGCAGGGTTTTTTTGCATGATAAGATCTTTTCTTGAAGAAAAGTAGTTTTCATAATATAGTCGTACCTTGGTATCTGCAGAGGATTGGTTCCAGGACCCCCGCCCTCTGCTTCCAATACCAAAATCCACGGATGCTCAAGTCCCATATATAAAATGGCATAGTATTTGCCTATAACCTACGAACATCTTCTCGTATACTTTAAATCATCTCTGGATTATTTATAATACCTAATACAATGTACATGCTGTGTCAGTAGCTATTATACTTATTATTTAGGGAATAATGACAAGGTGAAAAAGTGTGTACGTGTTCAATACAGACACAACCATAGTAGGCCTTTCGATCCTCTTTTGGTTGAATCTGCAGATGGAGAACCTATGGATACGAGGGCTGACTGTTAATATTTGAATGAAGCCACTGTGCTTGAGATAGTTTTCATGCCCTTCCATATAGTTGCATAGGTAGATGTGAAATAGGATTCAAAGACACAATGTCAGTCTCTCCCCACAAAGACCGACATTGTTTACACCATTTTTCTCTACAAAAAGCAGTGGTTTTTTTTCTTCTTATTTGCCTATTATTTGTAGGGATCTACTTGTCATCAGTGCCGCCAGAAAACTATTGATACCAAAACAAACTGCAGAAACCCAGAGTGCTGGGGCGTTCGAGGTCAGTTCTGCGGTCCCTGCCTTCGAAACCGTTACGGTGAAGAGGTCAAGGATGCTCTGCTCGATCCAGTAGGTGCCTAAAGGGGTGGTCCTGTGGGCTTGAAGGTCAACCACGAGCTAACAGGGCCAGAAAGAGGGCATCAGTGAAAGGATTGAGCCCTTAGTGTTGTGGGGCGTTCATCTCAGGGGATGCAGGTGAATTTGTTGTGTTGGTGCCGGGTAGGTGTGAGCCACTTCCAGAGTGCTCGGGCCTGGCCATTCAGGGGAAGTTGGTTCTCCATTTACCCCTGGTAGTTGCTCTGTAACTTCGCTGGATTTCCTAGGGAACATTAGGCCTGACTAATGGATATTAACCATGTTAAGTTTTTTGTTTTTTAATCCAAAAAAAGATAAAGATTTAAATGCAATTGATAATACCCCCTTAAGAGGTGAAATAAGAGTAGATAAGGTAAGGGGGGAAGTAAGGTTTGGTTTAATGGTGCCTTTTCACAATTTTCCTTCAGAACTGGCATTGCCCACCTTGTCGTGGAATCTGCAACTGCAGTTTCTGTCGGCAGCGAGATGGGCGGTGTGCGACCGGGGTCCTTGTGTATTTAGCCAAATACCATGGCTTTGGGAATGTGCATGCTTACTTGAAAAGGTAATGGCTGGTTGTTTTTCTCTTTTCCACATCCAAATCTTACATTCATTTATGTGTTTTAATAAAAAGATGATAGAAGTCAGAACAGTGGTTATCTCTGGGTGAGGGGTGCAGCTATTGACTGGAAAGGGCACATTGGGAGTCTTTTGGAGTGTTGGAGACATTTTATATCTTCATCTGGGTGGTGGTGACCCGAGTGCATGTGTGTGTATAAAAATTCAAGTTTTACACTTCAGAGGTGTGCACTTGACCACATATATAACTCAATAAAAACATTTTTAGGAGTGAATTAGCCTTTCAAAAGAGAATTCTTAGGTTGAAAAACTACATCCTGATGTGTTTCCTTGTCTCTTTCAGTCTGAAACAGGAATTTGAAATGCAAGCATAATATCTGGAAGATCCGCTACCTGCCTTCCACTGCGCAAATCTTCCTTGTTGAAGTTTTCAGTTTCGTCATGTGATGGAAACCCAAGTGGGGAATTTTGATGGTCGGTCTGTTTTATGGGAAACTCAAATCCAGTTAATCTCATTAGACGTGCTAGTGTTTCTGAGCAGCATGGAGGTATATTGCTAGCTCTACTTTGCCCTTCTGCAATTTCTCCTTCGCTTTCCCCCACCTGCCACATGCCGCCCCTCGCCACATACCACCCACCTCTATTTCCAGTGGTTCTCGCCCACCATTTCGTTTCTGGAGTCTTAAATGAAAATTTTATGAAAACATGTTTGATTTAATTGGTGTTGAAATAGCCCTGGAATCTACCCATAAAACCAAGCACTTAGAAACCCAGTAGTGGTGTTAACTAACTACATCTATTGAATTCCAGACAACAGCCCTAACTAGTTTACACGAAAACAAGTATGATTTAGTGTTAGTACTAGTTGACATTTTTTAACAGAAGGCACAAAAGTCTTAAAACCATGTGGAAAAATTAGGTAACTGTTGGAAAGTGGAGTATATTACTTTAGATGCCTCTCATGAGAATATTCCATGTTTTATGCTTATTATATGAGTTGTCACAGTTGAGACTTAGTTGCTGCTGTTTCTTCCACCGTGAAATTATACGTTGCATCTTGTCACACAGTCATGACCCAAAGGGTTGTGGGCAATGCTGGACTTGAAATCACTGTAGAAAAGACATCCTGGGGAAGTAGGATGGTGAGGCTTTAGGAAAGGCTGATTTGAGTTCATGGTATAAAACCTCAGTATAATTGTAGTTTGCCAAGTTTATTTCAGTTCATAATGTGAAGTATTTCAAATAAGTTCTTGATCACTTTGCATGGAAAATTGATATTAATACTAGTCTACAATTCTTTGCAGTTTTTGCTTTCTCAAAGAAATTATAAGCTAGGCGCAGAGTTCATGTTCAGGTTTTAAGCACTTTTAGAATAATGAGAAGTGCCTTTTTGGAGATGGGTGACTTTCAGCAGTTTGTTAACTTGACATCGCTGCCTGTTGAGTTTCTGGGCAGATTTCGTGTGTCATCCCCCCTTCCCCCTTTTTTGCATTAATCAATCGTTTGGTAGAGGTGGACTCTTTAAGTGTCTGTATGTGTACTTTGCATGGGCACCCCATTGGCTGTGCCTTTTCTGTGTTTGATGCATAATTGGACCTTGAATCAATAAATGTAAATAGAGCTTTTGATCTGTAATGCTTTTATACAAAGTTTTTTATTTTAATAATAAAACATTTGTTTTAGCTTGTCTACTTTTTTTTTAATCTTCAGTACTCAATCTTACTGCTCTGAATCCTAATTTTTTCTCGTATTTAAACAGAAGACCATGGGCCGGCCCCGTGGCTTAGCGGTTAAGTGCACACGCTCCGCTGCTGGCGGCCCGGGTTCGGATCCCGGGCGCGCACCGACGCACCGCTTCTCCGGCCATGCTGAGGCCGCGTCCCACATAGAGCAACTAGAAGGATGTGCAGCTATGACATACAACTATCTACTGGGGCTTTGGGGGGGGGAATAAATAAATAAAATCTTTAAAAAAAAAATAAACAGAAGACCATTTCTGCCTTTTCTAGAGTCTCCATTTTGGCTTATGTTTCTGGAGGTCAGGGGTCAGCTCTTGTGAACTAGGGCCTCGCTTGGTGATAGGACTAACTAACAGCTGTGATCAGAAAATCTGCTAAGCTCCATTGCCAGATAGAAAATGGTACGTGCCAATGAAGTTTTACAATGTTTTATTCTACTTTACCATTTGCCAACCCAAGAACTAACAGCGATTTCACAATACCTGGCTTGTTTTTATCAACCATTTGAATACTTATTAAAGGCATGCTGTGCCTTGAGGCCTGTTCCAGGACTGAGAATCAAAAGACAAGGCATGGTTTAAAAGCTCTCGGAACCCAATTCTTTAGACCAAGGTTGGCATACCTACAGCTCGTGGGCCAGATCCTGCTGCGGCCTATATTCATATGGCACATGAACTAAGTGTGTTTTTTTACATTTTTAGGGAGTTGTAAAAAAAAGCATGTGACAGATAGTGTGGCCCACAAAGCCTAAAATGTTTACAATCTGGCACTTTATAGAATTTTGCTGACTCCTGCTCTAGACTTATCTGGGAAACCATGTTTAGCCCATAGGTATTCGTCTGGGGAGGAGACGAAGCTAAATGAAGTCATGCAACTGGTGTTCTGTACAGATCCAAAAGAAATGGGTATTTCTTTTATAAACTCTTAGAATCTTAAGAACTCAAATGTAATCCAACCCTTTAGGTGTAATTGGGATGCTTAAGTTTTTAGAGTTAGTCAAAATTGGTGGTGGTTTGGAACATTTTTGGTGTTACCGTGTTTTAATATTATGAAGTGGAACTAATGTGGTTTTCATTAAAAATATTGACTAGTAACAGTTGATTCTGAGGCCTTACCCTTAAAGGATTTACAATCTAGTGGAGGAACTAAGACAAAAACCTAAAAATAACGTTCTGAGTAGGAATGAAGAGAGGAAAAGTTCTCGTTACCAGACATTTTACGGCATTGATGGGCCCACGAGTTTTGTAATGGCTCCTCTTACAAGAAGGAAATAGATCAGTTGCTCAGTCTCAGCCTTGACTGTGTGGGGGCCCCATACTTTTTCCCACACACCCCATTGGAAAGCTCCACCATCCTTAGAGTTGAGAGAACTCGAGTTCTGACAATTAGATGTGAAAAGTTTTGTCAGGGCAGTCAAGCTACAGGAATTATTTTTGTTTCCCCAGCCTGGGTTCCTTGAGGTGGAGATGGTATCTACCTTGAACTCCACCTACTAAGGGGTTGAGAAATGAAATAGAAACTAGAGTAGACTTCAGTAGTTTCGTAATGAAGAGAGGCAAAGACAGTTGTCAGTGCTGCAGGAGAGGTTTACTTGTGTTTTGTTTTACTTTCAGAAGAAAAAGTGAGAGGGAGCGCCTGATGGCTCAAAGTCAGGTAGAAAATTGGGTCATTTGCATACCAGGGGAATGGAGTATGATATCAGTGCTTTGCAGCAGCCCGAGAGTATTAGGTTCTGAGAGGAAAGTGATAGCAAGTCCTGAGGGGAGTAAAAGCAAATGTTATGTTATTACTAACAACACATTTATGGGGTAGTATCTCAAGGATGAGGAAGTAAATCCAGACAAGTTGAGAGAAATGCCCAATGGCACATAGCTAAGGTGGCAGAGCTAGACTGGAATATTCCAGGGAGAGGCCTTTATCCTTTTTTATTAAACTAAGTTGAGCTTGCCTGCCTTAGGAGTCAGAAAAGTAGAAGAGGGGGTTGTTAATCAGGTCCTGTCCGTGAGAACAAGGGCATCTTGGGTGTGGGGCAAGCCTGGCTGAGATGGCTTATGTAGAAACCCTGTGGAGTAAGGAGACAGGCAGGGCTGGGAGGGGCTGAGGCCTTGTGTCAGGAGGGATTGGGAGGGGATAGTAGGAAACCCGGGTGTTGGATCATCCAGCATAGATGCTGGAAGCCCTGAGGCTTTTAACTGCAGGGCGTTGTCCTGTGGGTAGGAGAAGGCTGCTAACTACAAGGTTGAGGAAGGAGCAGAGGAGAAGGGCAAGATTTTCAAAGGAGGTGTTGCTGTGATACAGTGGAGGATGGACTAAAGCTTGGAGTGGCAGTGGGGAGCTGGGGATCTTGGGAATGTGTAAGGAATGGGCTCGTGGTTGCAGAGAAATTGGCGTGGCATTAACATTATACTATCCAGGTGATAAAAGACTTGTTAGAAGAAAAGAGCAAGAAACAAAAGAGACACCCACTCAAGGCTAAAGTCACTAACATTTTGGTTTTTTCAATCTCCCTTGCATTTTGTTTTATGTGGTAGCATTTATCCTAGATGTACAACTTCTTTAGCGTTAAGAATATCAAAACATTTTAAATGGCTCTCCAGTATTTGTTTATATGGATGGTCCATACTTAAACAATTTCCAATCTTGGGGTATCTGGAGTGTTAACAACCTTTTGCTATTATGAGTAATGCTGTAATTAGTATTGTTATGCCTAAATCTTGGGTTAAAATAGATTTCTAGAAAGTGCAGTAATTCTTAATTACAGGGATGGAGGAAGGTAGGAGATTGGGAATTTTGGAGAGTGGGGCTGGTCTGTAGACCTAAGCCACCCAGAGTTCCAGGTGCACTTGGGTGCAGCCCAACGATGGGGGAGAGGAGGTAAGCTACTTGACTTGAACCAAAATGAGAGGCATGGCTCACTGTAGGTGAACTCAACCTGTAGGATTGTAAATGTGCGTAGCTGGCCAAATAAGAAACATTGTTTTATGGAATCCTGTGCCTTGAATTTAAGAAAGTTTGTTGGAAGTGTTGTCAGATGAAAGTACCGGCTGATAACGCATGATTTCAACAGTGCTCAATCCAACATTCTAAATATGTGCCAAAGGTGGGAAACGAGAGTTAGTTGAGCACCTCCTAGGTGCCAGGCACAGTGCTCAGTACAGTATGTCTGTTAGCTGTTCATAGCAGGTATTTTAGAAATAAAGAGACTCAAGGAGGTTAAGTTAACTTCTGAAGACTCAAGAGCCCATGCATGCTCTCCTAGCCTGGGAAGAGAGATATTAGAACCAAACAGTCTTCTGAGAACTTCTGATAGACCTGGCTACATACCTTGATCATAACAAGTAATACCTGCCACTGGTAGTTATATGTTTTAGTTTTTCCCCTCATAAGACCAAGAAGTCGTTGAGAGCAAAACCATCTCTGATTCAAATACCCTTATCATGTAGTAGGTACTCAACAAATGTTTATTAAATATTTATCAAAAGATGAGTGTCTTGGGCAGTTCCTGAGATTTGGGTAGAAAGAACTAAAATTATGGTGGAGGAGAAATAATGGGTAGATCCCAACACTGAAAGCATTCACTCCTGTGAGATGTAATCTTTCTTTGTGGTATAATACTTAGCCTGCTATGAAGCTGCTGTGGTCTAGTCATTAAAAATTATGTATTTCTGATAATGTATTTTTCTATGGGAAAATACAATTTACTTCATCATACTAACTTTAAAGGATTACCTTTATTCTACTGAGTAAAGAATTTGTATTATTGAGCTACAAATTTAGCTACCAAAAGATAATTTTAGATATAGTAGCTGTTAAGTGTTATCCATTCGTTGGGGGGAAACTTTTTCTGGCAGAAATTGAGTGTATAGAAGAGCTTCTTTTTTTTTTTTTTTTTTAAGATTTTATTTATTTATTTATTTATAATGAAAATTATCATTCTTTTCTCAAGGAGA